GCTTTGACATCTGCGGTTTATTCACACTTGGAGCATGGAACATGCCCCACAGTTGGAACCCTCAAGACGTTTGGCTACAATATAAGACAAGAAACGTTGATATCACAGGAGCGACGGTCGAAGCCCGTAACAAACCGCATTGATCAATGACAACACATGCAAGGCGCCACCATTTAACTAGTAAAAGACACCACATTCTCATACAATGTAATAAGCGAACGGGTCAAAATGTTACTAGGGGGCCAGTAAATCTATTCCATCGACGTTCAAACGAGGACGTACCCCAGGTTAATTCGACTCCTTGTGGCCAGTCCTGTGTAGTATGGATTTCCTTGGCTGGCGAGAGTTGGGGAAGCGCTGCCTGGTCGATGGCAATTGAAAGCCGACCGCTCGCAAGTTGGCAGGGTGTGACGAGGATGAGTTTTTCGGTGAGGCAGCTGTGATTTGGGGCGTTAAGAGGTGAAGCAGCGCAAAATTGCGATCACAGAAGTCTAGCAAAACTAGTGCTACCATAGAAGGGCGTCGAAATAATGCGGTGTCCGTAGGTGCACCATATTTTGAGTTTGACTTTATTCCACGCGTTATCGACGATCCTGCGTTAAGTAGATATCCGCCATCGACAATCCTCTTCTTGATATCAATGACTGTGCTGTATTCAAAGTAACGTGCGGAGATTAAGCTGCCTGGGAACTACTGGATGGAAGATAGACAGGCGCAAACAATGAAATGGGCACTTGCTCTTATGTAAACGGTGCGGCTGCTTGTTCTTTGGGTGGCCAAACCCATACCATTGCTAATTCTCAGTAAAGCGAGGTTCAGGTCAACAGGGTCAGCTGAGTGTGAGCTTCCTCAGTCTTGCGATAAACGTTCATCTTGCCGTTTGTGAACTCCTGGTCCAGTTGCCCTCTAGTGGAACAAGACTAATGCGTCGGCCAAATTTCCGAGCCGTTATTTGCCCTGCGATAAGCAGGGCAAGTAACGGCTATCCTGCATGGGTTTGAGGACAAAAAATGCCTTGCTTGATGGCAGCACACAAGATTGTTTCCATTGGCCTATTCATCAACGAACCTAGTGGGTTCCGGAACCCACTTTGTGCTTTTGATGAATATCAATTCTACCCTGGGGTAGAATCGATATTCATCAAAAGCACTAACCCAATGGGTTCCGGAACACTGGGATCGTTGATGAATAGGGCCACATGTGTTCTCCTTTTGGAACCTAGGCATATTTGACGTATGTTGATGTCTAGAATTTCTTATGCCGCACAGGTTGGTATGGTGGAACTTTACTGACCTAACGTTTCGCACATCTCCTCTTCGTCGGAGGTCTGAAAAGGATTGTAGGTTACGTATCTGCTGTTACTGTGCCGCCAACCATCTCTTTGAGTTCGCTTCGCTTGACGTTTTCTCAGAGCCAAGGTACTGGGCACACCGGACGAGGGCAGCGAACCTTTCGTCCAACCAGAGAGTCAGTAGTCCGCACTGGATCAGTGTGACGGACATCACTGAGTTGTGATCAGTGAGTCCTGCTACTTATAGCGTGCGATGTCGAGCTCACACAATGATTCAGTGGTAGTAGATCCTCGTTATCGTCAGACATTCATTTCTGTTGTTCATACTTGGATTGCGAGATATCCACGCCTCTTTAAGGATCTTTCGTGCTTTAATATAAGTCTCAACGGTAAGATGACACATTTAACGCTAAAATTTTTTTGCAGTCGTGCTTTTTAAGCTCATGCTTGCCCAACAAAGACAATAGGTTTCCTCGCCTCATATTGGCCAAGTGCTCGCTTGCTCTAGTGCTTAAAGGTCTACCCGTCTCTCCAATGTACACTGTTCTGCAACTCAAGCATTCCAGTTGGTAGATAACTCCCAATTTGGCAAAGTCTCCAATTTCCCGTAAAGACAGACGATGCAATCCTTTGATAAACATTTAACATCCGTAAACTCTGTTTGTGACCAACCGCCTTTTGGTATTAGCGCCAGGAATGTCAATCAACATGACTTCATTTTGGAGCTGTGCTCGCAGGATGCATTTTCTTATGGCCTCGATGAATTTATCGGAAACAAATGGTATGCACAAAGGAATTTTGTTGTTCTTATTGCGCTCTATAGTAACACAATCAACCAATCAAGTCTTACAGAGCGCAACAAGAATAACAAGATTGTATAATCCGGAGACATATCTCTCACACGCGCAAAGCAATTACGATTGAGCGGAGACCTGATATTTCTGTTGCTGGCAAATCACATGTATCGATGCAAAATGTATGTAAACATTTATAGAAAGGAAGGAAGGAAGTTATAGGAAGTTCCATCCTTTTCGGAAATACTTGCAAGCTTTCTGACAGGGGAGGTCCGATTAGTGGAAGTGGCCTTTCCAAATGTGTCTTACACCAATTTGAAGAGCACCATACAAATCTGACCATTATTTGCTGGGCACCTCTCCATGCCGAGTCTATGAACAACTTCTTGATGCGAAAAATGAACACATAATCCAGGTAAAATCAAATTTTACGGTTTTTTCAGCGCTCAGATAGAGCAGCGTTTTAAGTTTGAGTGTTTTGCACAGAAGATATCGTTCAAACGGAGTGCTTTGATAATCAGCTTTGTAGCATTTGAGCCATTCTGATGAATATTGGTCCAATTATGCATCCAATTTTTCAACTCAAAAATTAAAAAGTACTTTTTATGGCGTTTTCCTGCTTGGACGCTGAGCGGGCTGGAGCAAGGAGCCCCTTCCACCGAATTACGATTGGCTGCCTGGGGCAATCAACCAATTGCCGCCAAAGGAGTGGTATTACAGTCTCCAGCAGCCAGACAATGTTTTCGGAAATGCTGAAATCTCCGCTCCAGCCCGCCCAGCGATCTCCAGGGCCGGAAAACGTTACAAGAAGCACTTTTTTAACTTTTTAAGTACAGTCTGGTCTAAGCGCACCTAGAAATCTCAGGAATCTCGCATCTCAGAAATGAGGTTGGTAAACATAATATATGTGTATGTGGGATTTGTGGTATATATCCTCAACGGAAAGTTTAGGAACGGAAAATAAGGGCAGCCTGATTTTCATTACACTTTGATCTTGTTCCGAGCAACAACAAACAGGCTGCAAATCAAAGTCACTTTCATAAGCGACATTCGCCTACCATTTTGGTAACCCGGTACCGCTCCTCTCTCACAGCCCTGCGTGGCGCCTCAAAAAACTTGAACAGGATCTCTTGAACAGTCTTGCTCTGCTATCTACCCTCTGATTCAAAAGGAATGGCGGCTGGTTGATGGGGCTCATGCCCTCGCGGCCGTCTCTCCTGGCTCTGCACCTCCCTCGATCGTGCTCTCTAATGAATGGAGTTCCGCCTTTCCCACGCTCGTGATGGGAAAGTAATTAGAGAGCACAAGCTGCCCCCCCCCCTTTCAGCCGCCAATCCTGTTGAATCAGAGGATAGTCATGGTGCAGATGACACACCATCCAGAAGAGCTCTTTAGGCTTCTTCAGACCCTGTGTTTGCGATAGGGTTTTGTCTCTACAAACGAAAAAGCCAGAAAACTTGAAAAAGTGCTATTTTTGGTGCAATAAAAATTCAGAAAAAACATGTCTTAGTCTTTGATTCACAAAGGTAGAGGAAAAATGTATCAAGTTGCAGATATACGGGCGTAGAAAGCTCTTTCAGCTGATACCCAAAAAGTTTGAGTTTACTTGTAAAGAAACAAATAAAAGGCACCTCTGACTTGAAACTGCTCATGACTGTATCTCTTGACTCAAAGGTACCGTCCACCCAAAATCTCGAATTCAATGTTCTTGTCCTTTCAGGCCTTCTGAAAGCCCTGATTCCGAATACCTCCAGTTTGGGTGGACGGTGTCTTTAATGCGCTGGTACACTGAGATGTCGTGTGTTTAGTGGCGGTCCCCTCTCACTGGGTGGCACTGGTACTTCAAGTAGCCACACATGTTTTACTGCAAAGGTATTGCTCCAAAGATGTGCTTGATTTCGCACTATAGCAAGTGTAAAAATTATCAGCACGTAAATAACTTTGTATTAATATTGGCTGAACGAGAATAATAGGTTCTAACATCTACCAAAAGTAGAACATCTAATCAGTTCTCCTTCTTGAGAAATCTGCAGTCATTCTCTAAGCGTCCTATAATTTTCCATTCACACTATTATCGCTTTGTCAGAAGGCGCTATTTCTGCCACTTTATACTCAGAGTCATGAAATTTGGAAGTTGAGCTCGACTCTGTTGTCACTGCTGTATCCCTTGAACTAGAAGGAAAAAAAACTGTTGACCAAAAATGTTGAGAAGCCTTGTTGTATTTAACTAAGGAAGTAAAATCATAGAACTACCTTCTGCCTAACAATAAGTCGTGATTATGTTGGCGTACAAATATGTTTCGAGGAACATGATTTTGCCCCTTCCTAGCTGACAAAAATTATGCAGAGCTCCTATTACTCTGCAAGAGCATTCAATGATCTGTATCCGCTTTAGTATGAGAAAGATTAGTACGATGTTTTTCTGATTTGTGCAATATGTGTAGTCTATGATCCCCAGCACATACTATTGACGATCTCTAAAATAGAAAGTGCGAAGAATAACGGAGATAATGACGCATAACTCAAAGTATTCAGGCAAAAAAATTCTTCCTCGTTAAGATCTGTAGCAAGGTATAGATCTAGCATCCTTGCTTCTAATGCCTTTATGCTTCTCTGATTTCTTGTATACAAAAATATCCTAATATGGAAATAGTCGGGCTTCTTGTGCATTCCCTGTTATGCAGCACATTCGCTTTACTTCTCCTGAAAGATTTTTTTGACGATTTCGAAACATCCCAGCAAATTTCGTTCATTAGTCTGAAAGAAGTTTTGTGTGTACCATTTACCGTTACGCACACATCTGTTTACGTTCGCTATTTCTAATCAAACAAACCTTTAATCAACAATCACAGGTCACACATATGATTACGTCTAGTATTAGTATCAGTGTGAATGCCGCCAATTGAGTCTTTGCAATGATACTGCTACTAACGCTACTTTCGACTCTTGTTGTTGCTATTGTAAGGTAAGCTTTCGTCTTTCTAAAGCTTATAAATAACCATGTTATCCCTTCTTCTAGAGCTTGGTCAAAACTTTTTTCACGGCTTTCAAATTTGAGAAACTACACTTCCCGAGTTCTCATTCACTTCAAGTCTTGGATATGTTATGTTAGCATCGCCACTAAAAAACTTGTAATTGAGTGGAGTTTTTTGAAAACAATATATTTCTTGGTCCTATTGTCCTAAATGAAAATGTAGATTTGTTGCTGGCTGAAAATTTCTACAGTTTTGCAGTAGATATAGGATTATTGATCATTTCTTCTGCATTCATGATGTAATAACACTTTGACTGAATCTATGATTATAGCTTTGGTTGTCTAACAGCTCAGTCTCTCACAATTTTTTTTTACTTCCGGTCATGTTCATTTGAAAAATACCGTGTGAAAGGAAAACCGAGATTAACTTGATTTGATGTACATGTGCATTAAAAGTGAATCCGGCGCCATATAATAAAATAAAACCCGCTGATTCATAGTCTTAGAATTACGGTACATAATGTGATACAAAAATTCAGGCTTAGAATGATTACCCTGACCTGGGAACAGTTCGCCAAAAATAGATTTGATCAGGTGGCGGTAGAATTTGAGTGATTATTGAAGGATCTAGTGCATCGACATTTTGATAACACATATCTTGCAGTTATTATCGATGGCATCTGGGCTACTGGAAGCGCCGAGGAATTCCCGGCCCTCCAGGAACAATTTTTATTGGAAATATGCACTCCTTGACTGATAGAATGAGACCTCTTGGCCTAGTACTGAGAGACTGGACGAAGGTTTGAACCTACACAGTATTCTTTTCAATATAACTGAACTTTGCAGGAGTATGGAAAAGTTTACGGTATCCAGGAAGGACTACGGAATACGCTAGTTATCAGTGATGTCAATATGATTCGAGAGCTGTTCATGCAGAAGTTCGAGTACTTTTACGGTCGCAAGGTATGATAAGGGCACCAGAAAACAATAAAACACAAATTTATGATTTTGAGTAGTAACCATGTTGGGTACAGTCTAAGAAATGATGGCCTTTAGATAGGTGATGAGCAATTTGTGCTATCTAGAGACTTCGTAATTTTTCAAATTAGACTGTTCTATGGCGTTTATAAGCCTTATTGTGTAACCAGAATAAACGAATCTAGCTTAAGAACAGTGCTCTCGTCGGTGATGTCGAAAATGATCCTCGGGTATCTATTTTTGAAGCTCAAGGAGCTAGATGGAAGCGACTGCGTGCCATTTCTAGCACGGCCTTCTCAGCTGCATCACTGAAAAAGGTAGGCCCAACAGACTTTTTCTCAATCATTTTTCCAGAAGTGAAGAGACGATTGAATCAAAATTATGGGCATAAAATCTCGCTCTATGCTCTATGATCAGTATTTCCAAAGAAAAACATTTTAAATTTAATACAGGATATGTTCAAGGTTCGCCCAACAGTGGAGGATTCAGTACTCAACCTCATAAAGCTACTAGACGAGCATGCAGAACAAGAAGCTTTCGATATCCACCAGTAAGTATACTTAAGCGGATCTGGGCGGTGTTCGTGCAATTGCACAACATGCGCGTCTCTTCAAAGTATCTGACGTCTTCAACACTGTCTAAATTCAAAACATTTCGCGGTGATTAATCGTCGATTAGAGTGGAAACATACCCTTCGATTCAAAGGGGTAGGCGAGGAAAAGGCCATGGCTCGCACCCGCAACGCAGTCTCTCTCGCGAGCGTGCTCTCTGAGCGTTCAATAGCTTTGATTGGGCCTTGGAGGCCCGCCTTTCAGCCTCCAACCCAGTTGGATCAAAGGGTATATCACAAGTTTTTGCAAAAATGACTCTCGATCAGAGATTTTGCGATTTTTTAAGGCAAGCGCGTGCTGTGCAATCACACAGATTACCGCTGCTTCACCCAAGTGTGTTCCAAATTTAGCAAAATGGTCTTTTCTGCAGATTCTACAAAGAATTTACGATTGATGTGATTTATCGGATCGCATTGGGACAGCAAGGCTCACAAATGTTCAAGGATGACAAAATGGCACGTGTCGATGCAGTAAGTTGATAAAAAAACCATTGCTCATCCTGATTGAAAAAATAAATAAAGTGAGTCCTTAGATTTTCCAACGAAGTGGTCGGCAACCAGTTTTCTATTTAGCTAGCATATGGCCAAGCATTGGACCAATCTTACGGTAATTATTTTTATAGTTTGCCTGTTCAATTTTAAAACATGGCAAAAAATTGAGTTATTGCTTGTCCAGGAAAATCTACTCCGCATCTGCAAAGCTAAGGCAAAGCCCGATACCTCTTCTTTTTGCTCCAATCTACAAAGCTGTTAATGAGAGGATCCAACTTAGAGTACGAACTCTTACTCAAAAATCATGATGATTTTTTATGACTACAGGAAAGTCAAAGTGATACCAGCGAGAGCAAAGAAATTACCGATTACATTGATTTATTCCTGGATGCAAGAGCCGAGCAGAATTTCGACAATCGATCTGATTTTTCCAAGAATCTTCATGTGCGTTTTCTAAGATTAGCATGAGTTGCAGTGGTGGACGAGATGGAAAAGTGAAAAAAAAGGGGAAGCAGGAAGGGGCGCTATTCTTGTAATAGGATTTCGATCGCCTTCACATAGATATAAATCTCATATTTAGCTTTTCAAAAAAAAATTCCTTTTTTCTAGAGTCGAAGCTACAAGCTTGCCAAAAACCACGTAAAAATAGTTTGGTGGCGTTCTTAATGTCGCGTCTCCTTATTTAGGAACCTTTTTCATATTTCTCCCTTAGCCTCCTCTCTCCCCTCCTCTTCAGAAAAAAAATTCTGGCGGTTCAACTGGGTGGAAACGGCCTTTGCCTCAATTCACAACTGCATCAACCATTTGTGATTATTTAGGTCGAGAAACAGCTAACAAGAGAAGAAATCGTAGCTCAGTGCTTCACATTTCTTGTAGCTGGATTTGACACTACAGCCAATTCCCTCGCATATGCTACTTATTTACTATCTAAACATCCTGAGGCTCAAAAGCATTTGCAGGAAGAAATCGACCAGTATTGCAATGACGTAAGTGTATCTAGTTTGTTTGTTTATTCAGAAATCCTATTTTGGGAAAAACAGGGTTTGCGATGCTTTCGCTAATTCAGAATATTGCATTTGGATCCATAGGGGAGAGAGCTAACCTGTTGGCGGAATTTCCCTCCTTCTTCGGAACTTTTCTTTACTTCCTGCAAAAGCTGGGATGTTTGTCGCAAAAATCGAGTTTACTTTTGATCGAATTCTAGCTCAATACAAAGCAAGTGGTCGCTCACATTACTCCAAAAAATAGCAATTATATGGGAAGAAGTAAATTTAGTACTACAACATGTGAGTTTGCAGAATGCGCGCGATAACTAACGACTCTTTAGCAATAAATCATGAGTAATTTTCGTGCAAAAGAAACTGTTGAAGAGTAATACTCGTGATACTCATTCAATCAAGCAAAGTAAAGCACAAAACATGAGCTATTCTGAAAATTTGCAGTTCCTAATCTTACAAGTCGTGAATTAACGTGCTTGCTGTGCAATAACTACAGTGAGTTACAAACGACTCGAGCATAGGCATCAAAAAATGGAATGAAGCATTCCAAGCTATTATCACATAATTTTAGACAATCAGCTACGAATCGCTTGCTGCGATGAAATATCTGGATTGCGTGATGAAAGAAGGACTCCGAATGTATCCACTTGCTAATTTGTGAGTCTATTTATAAGTTGATTTCCATCACGTAAAGTAATAAATGTTAAAAATTCAGTGCAAATTCGCGTTGCTGTATGAAATCGACTACACTCGGAGATGTGAAGATTGAAAAGGGCACATATGTGATAGCTGATACATTCACGCTTCACTATGATCCCGAAATTTGGGGCGATGATGCCAACGAATTTCGCCCAGAAAGGTTAGGAAGCGGAATTATAATTGATGGATAATCTTTTGAAATTCCTTTACATTTCAAGATCTTCTGATTTGATAAAAGAAAAATTTTGCGTTTTTCGCAAGTGCTTGATTCCAATTCTTTGCGGGCATAGGGGAACGATGCAAGCTGTTCAGTTAAACTATCCAAAAAATAGCTTTTGACACTGAATTGAAATTTATCTTTAAAGTTGGTTTTATGACTTATTATTTTTGACTAAAAGAAGGGTAGCGACTGGAGTTCTTTATGAATAAATACGAATTCGATTTTTCTATTTGAACTATTGATTTTGTTTCGAAATGATTTTCTAAGATGTCTTATGAAAGATTACGCTCGATGTACATGAAAAAGAGCATATTGCGTAGATAAAATAGTTTGTTTGAGCATTTTCAAAACGAAGTGTTTTCTATTTTTTGGTGCAAGAATTGTTCATCAACCTAATATTAGATTGGCACGAAAGTTCGTTCGCACCATTTTCAAAAATTCATAACTCCTTAAATTCTGAACGAATTTGTACGATCAAAATTTTGCTTAAGAGAGAAACTCGTGCCCTTTGCACCTGTGCCTGAACAATTCGTTAATGTGTACGAAGAGATAGAAACTCGAAGCCAAAATCACCCAAAATTCGAATTATTCAGTGTAGGGTCATAAAAAATCGGAAACTTGCAACAAAAATCGGAGCAGTCGGTATTGAAGGTTCTGTTAACTGCTCTATCTATATGTCAAAGTTTGCGCCGATTGAGCGTCTCTATGAAAAGTTACGATTTTCGAGCATTACAAAAGGGCGAATTTGATTTATTTTGGCATTTTTCAGGGAATTCATAACTTTTCATAGAGACGCTCAATCGGCGCAAACTTTGCACTGTTAGAAAGAGCTGATGAAAGAACTTACAACGACTGTTCCGATTTTTGTTGCAAGTTTCCGATTTTTTATGACCCTACACGAAAAATCCCAATTTTGGGTGATTTTGGTTTTGAGCTTCTATCTCTTTCATTTGTGCACATTAACAAACTTTTCAGGCGCAGATGCAAAGTGCATGAGTTCCTCTCTCAAACAAAATTTCGATCTTACAAATTCGTTCAGAATTTAAAGAGTTATGAATTTTTGAAAATGGTGCAAACAAACTTTCGTGCCAACCTAATATATCAGAAACTGAGAAGATTACTTTACCTTTATAGATGGATGGATTCGAATAGACCAGTAGCCGCATGGATTTCATTTGGATTGGGTCCTCGGCAGTGCATAGGAATGAGACTAGCTTACATGGAAGAAAAGCTTGTTCTTGCTCACTTGCTCAAGCGATATGATATATTGCCAGCTGAGGTAAAGTTTATGCAATCTATCAGCTGGGTCCGAAAGTTCTGTTGTCTCATTGTCAAAATTTTGTAACTTTGCACTGTTGCAACGGATTTGCTTGCTTGTAATTTCTTGTCGAGCTTCTGTTCTGCATTGAAGTAGCGATAAAAATGGAAAAGTAAGACCGTATAAGCTTTGACCATTTTAAATTAGGTCGCCAAAAATCTGAAAAATTTGTAATCGTCACTACGTAATTTTTTTGGCATACTCTTTGCAACAGTGAAACGTTTGTGCTTTTTGGACGTGAGGGGGTAAAAAGCTATGATTATCGAGAAATGTGACAAATTAATTGATTTTGGCGTTTTCTGTAGTAAACTCAAAATTCTTTTCACAAGACGTAAAACGGCACAAACTTTTCACATTTGCAAAGAGTAGTTCATAGAATAAATGCAGTAACAAATTCGAAATTTTCTGCAGCTCTCCAGATTTTTGATGACCTAATAAAATGAGCAAAGCTTACATGGTCCTTCTTTTCCATTTTTATCTCTGCGTCCGTGTAAAGCAAAAGTTCTGAAAGAAAGCATTTGAAAGCGAAAGAATTGTTCTTTTTAACAAAATTAATAGCTAGCAAATCCGTTGGGACAGCGCGGAGTTACAATTTTTGAATATGAAACGACAGAACTTTTACACTCACCTAATATTAAGTTTATGCGAAATCAATGCATGTTCCCTTGACCTAAAGTGAAAGAAAATTAAAAGTTAAGTTTATCTTCGATAGAGCAAAGCGAGCTCTACAAGACAGTATTCAAACAATCGGAAAACATTCAATCTACTTCTTGCAGGACAAAATTTAATACTCAAAAATCAGATTTCCGTTTTGAAACACTTGCCCTATTTTTCGTAACTGAAAAGTGAAAAATAGAAATAGATCAAAAATTCGAACATGCCGCTTTTTTCGGATTTTTTGTGTTGAGTTTCATATTTTTCCTTAACTCAAGCTTGAAGAAGGGTGAAGATCTATTTTTATACTTCTTGTTTTCCTATACTTGGTCATCTTCTAAGGGCTTGTAGCAGTTATGCATCAACCTCATAAATTGCTCAAATATTTCGGACCTAAACATAGAGATTTCTTGGTTGCATCTCACCTTCCTTATCAGGATAAGCTCACCTTGATGGGATCGGTTACCATATCGCCGAAATCTGTCAAGGTCTACCTCAAACGAAGAGAGCAAAACTCGTAAAGCCGAAGTGCAAGAAGAATTCATGCCTTCCGGAAGTTGCTCCTGGACTGATCACGTGATGTTTATTGAATCAATTACTTTGAAGCATAAATCTTTCTTTATTATCAGTTCATGCGGCTCTTCATATAATCTCCACCAGAAGATGAGTCTTGTCAAAAGCGACTTCTTCGAGTGCCTACTAACTCTAAAAATTGCTGTTGAAAATTATTAAATAATCAGCAGTGTACCAGCAAAAAATCGGAGCGATAAAATTGATTTTCTAGGGTTTGGTGAGTCCGTGTATTAACTACTTTGTAAAAAAAGAAGATTTTTGGAAGAATCATCTTGAAAATTACTTGAAAGCCAGTCGGTTGCTTAAATTTGGTTTGCATTCTGTTCATTCCATCCTCTGCTACAGCTCTTTCAGAACTTGAGGCCGAAAATTTTGCTCATTGGTTAAATATAGGTGTGACAAAAACCACGGCTTCATAATTTTGGAGATTGCTTTAACGATCACGAAAGGAAATTGTTTAGAAACAAAAATGTTAAAAAGAGAAAGAAAAGCTGCGTCGAAATTCTAAAGTTTTCATCCGTCTTTTATTCCACGTATTTCTATGACTGGTCGAAAAAAAAACGGAGGAAACTTCCGGAATGACTCAATAGTATGATGCTAAAGCAGCCATACAGAAGCAGAACACGCTCTTTATTGTTTTTTTTGCTTTACGTCGAGTCTTTATAATTTATTCAGTCCAAACTGCTGCGTATGTTCACACATGTTTACATCAGAGGACATAATGCAAGCTTTGAATTATTTTATTCGGTATTACATAGATCTTCTAGATTTTGCAAGTAGGTTTTCTCATGGATACTCAGTGTGCAAAAGTGCTGCTTAAGCAAATTGATCAACACGTTTATTTGCTCATGCTTGTGGTTTTACACAGAGCATTTGAAATTTAGAGAAAATGTTATTTTCAGCGCCCCGCACAGCTGGCACCAGGTCAAGCTGGATTTCATTCTTGAGACAAAAAGCAAAGGGAATATTGTTTTTGCGGCCGAAAAGGCACATAAACTACGACGTACATTTTCTGAGGAGTTTTACTTCAGCATCAAACAAGACTAGGGTTCAGCATCAAAGACTAGGGTTCAGACATAGACTAGGGTTCAGCATCAAACAAGACTTCGTAAAAATTTTCAAGATCAAGGGGGACTTTTTTAAAATTTCTCTGGTGCCAGCTCGTGCTCCCTGATTATTTTTCGCAGCCTTGCTGCCTGCACCACTGTTGCCAGGTGACCTTCTCCAAGAACTGAAATTTATTTATCAAAATATTTGCAGTAATACAGATTAATGTAAATAATATGTCTACGAACCTGTATATACCCTGGGTTGCTACGTCGTGTAGAGTAAAAGAATTGGCAAAAAGTCTCAATATGTAACACGGTTTTAGCATAACCAATAGGATAGCAATCTATTTTCGCAATTTTCTTAAATACGATCTCAATAGTGTTAGTCATATTGAAAGTGGAAAAGACAAAGTCACCTCGATATTAATTTTTTGAGTCCAATCTGGTTGAGTTCTGTAATGTCGGCAAGCCTCCATGCACCAGATTCTGTATTCGTAGTGGTAGCCATGAATAGTCACGGCGATGCTCAGGAGCAAAAATGCAGAAGGCAGCTTCATAACTCCCCACTGATTTTTTTTATTGCATTAGGTCGTTTTTACAGCGCTTCTGTATCATGCTAATAGATATCACTATCAGAATGTGAAAAAAGGAGAATTGCATAATAACTACATTTGCGTGTGAGATTTTAGAGAGGAAAGCATTTTTGTGCCCCGCATAGCACTGAAGATGATATTTGATAGAATGAATCTCATTAAATGTCATGTTGTAGCTTCAGGACAGCGCTTCAGACAAAGTCATTCATTTCTATCTTTACAAGGATGGCCTTTACAATTGTAAAGAATCGCTAATATTTACATTGGCGTATACAAGTAGTCTCGAATAGTTATAAACTTGCTGCGGAATCTAGAAACACGCTTCCATGATTTGTATATCCTATGTTTGATTCTGGGGACGAGTGGCGTAGTGGTATGAGGCGCCGCTATGACCAGATCGGACACAGGTTCGATTCCCGCCCCTGGGCCAATCAAGCCCTCTACCCTCCGGGTACCCGTAAATTGGTACCAGAGTAATCTGGGAGGATAAAAGCACTGACTTGGTAACGGCTGGCCCCCGCAAGTCACTGTAATAGGCTTGCACGCATACAATTGCCTCTTCGACTATGAAGTTAGTGTGTGCGTTCGGCGCATGCCCTCAGTGGGTACTGAAGACGCCGAATCCTTTATCCTTTAATATGTTTGATTCTTAAGTACTAGCAATAAGTAACACAGGCAAGCAATTCGGTACTTCACTCTCAAAATGGAAAGTTTATGCGCACTAGCATATCACTCAGTATAGTTCATTTCTGAGCAAAACATTTGAAATGCATTCAGCTAATACTCTGTGCAAATGAGTTTCCAGTTGTGCAAGTTCAAAGTCGGTTTCAAAGGAATATAATTACTTGATACCTGCTATGTGCTTTGATTCATTGTCAGTATGAAACAAAGCAATAATGCAAGCGGCATCTTTTATTCAGGTTTTTACCATTTAGCCAACATGCACACTTTCAATGATGTCGGACTTTTCTCGTTGTCAGAGCAGAAAGAGAGAAATACTCAGAATTTGTTCTCCGCTTTTCAGAGCACGTAATATATTCATGTATTAAACTCAAACAGTTGAACTTCGTCTGTTAGAATATTTATGGCTTATAAACTAATTGGATGTGAAGTGAAGAGGCTGAAATTCTCTCCCCTATAAGGCTGAATTTTTACTGATTTCAATGTTCCGAAACTGTTCCTGAAGTTCCCGCATAATTCCCGCATTGTGCTCAATCTGTTCCGGAACTGTGCTGCATGCGCTGCAGCCGCCCGCATGCGATTTTGAATGGCGAGAGCCGGAGAATTTTGATCGCAACGGCCTTTCCTCTAAGTTCCTCGCATTTTGGCCTTGTTCCTCTATCCGTCTGCCTTTTTGATTAACAGAACTCCGAACTCGAAGAGGGGTTGAAGAACGAGGGCTCTCTCCCGTATGTATGCGGCAAAATGTGTGTACTTGTGCTTGTCCATTTTCTCTTCGCTGTATTTTTGCTCAAACCTATCATAACTTATAATAACAGGCTAAGGATGTTTACGTGACTTTGTGTGTCTGTGTGTCTGTGTGTGTAAGAGTGTGTCTGTTACGAAATTCGTAGAAAGTGCTCCAGCCAACCCCCGGGCCCAAATTTTGCACAGCGCATGCTACCCGCAAGAAAGTCCAACATGCAAAAGCACGAGCAGATTTGTTGAGTGGATCCCTCAAAAATTGCGTGTCAAACGGATCCACTTTTCATTTGGGCCGCAAAATTGGGTCCATAATTCCACTTTTTGCAGAGTCGTGAATGTTTATGCCAAGTAAATGTGCCAGCCATGAACTTAGGCCCAAAAAAGTATCAAAAGTCCATCACTTTGCAAAAACGGCGCCAAAAAGTATTGGTTGCGTGAATGTCATTTTGCCGAGGTTTTACCAAAGCATTTGACAAGATTTTTGCACAAAGATGAGCTGACGATGACTGCTGTTCTCATTGCAATTGTCAAGACCATGGGAAAATCAAAACCCCATAAAAATCCGCGTTTGTTCTCCTGCAAAAAGTCTCATCCACGCGAAATCACCGATTTCACATAAAAAAGCTTTTGGAATGAGTAGTTGCTTACATTCCGTTCGTGATAGTCGGCATTGCTCGGTGAGTTCCAATGCCATCATTGTGCGAGAATGAGTAGGGCCTAGATGGTGGAGCCAGTGCGAGCGTCTGCGAAGCAGAGGTGGCGCACTGGTTCTATATAATCCAGAAAGCCGCAGCGTGGTTTTCACAGCCACATCGACGATTTTGGCCCCCCTAACGTACATTACCGTAACCATATAGTGAGGCGTGTTTGAGGGGGAAAAGTGCGATAATCATGATCAACATGTCGAATAACCCCTCCATGCAGAGTTTCAGCAAGATCTGAGATTTTGACCCCATACCGTATACCTGCCGTAATCCCTCATAGAAGTCCCTATCATGCGAAATGAATATCATTTTCGTGATCAGCACCTCGAATATCCCCTGTGCACCAAGTTTTGGCGAAATCCGAGGTTTTTCATTTTTTTTGTGTATTCTGGAATAATACCCTCTTTTTAAATTCAAAACCGTGAAGAGTATACCGCGTTCCAAAAAAAAATACAGCAATTCAAAAACGAAGTTGAACAGGTCTTTTATGAAGTGCTTCATTGGCTTCGATACGCAAAGAAGCTTTTTCTGGCTTTTTCGATATGGTGTAGGATTTGTAAGCCTAAAGAATTTTGGAACTGACAAAAGCATAATTTTTTTGGAAAAATGAGAACTTTCTGGTTCGCACACAAATGGGGAATTTGGATGGCATAAACATTGACTTGACATTACGCTCAGAAGAAGATATTCAAGCCAAATACAGTTATTAGATATCCGTATGAAATGTCCTGATTTAACCCAAAACGAGAGCATTGACGGTCGTTGGTATAATATAGACTCAAGACGAGATATTGCAGACAACAGACTATTATGCATCTTACTTGACATCGCATTTTTGCATTTTCTCAGTTTTATAGACATAACGATTGTGCCTAAAATCTGTAGTGCGTAATTACAACCTCAGTAGAATAAACCCCAAAAGTAATACTTTGCACACTTAAATCTTCACATCTCCAAATGGGAGATGACCGTTTAGCATTACAGTATCCATCAGCATATATTTTGCGTGACTTGACCTAGCATGTGACGCTGCAAATCTTTACTCCACCTTTAGATAGAGTATAGAGCTGTACGTGATTGCGACAGTCGGTGACCTTGCGGCCATTGCGCACGCGGGATGCCATGAGGCCTCACATCAGTTGAAATCCCGTGCTTTTCGAAGTCGTTCTAGGTAAATGGAAGCTAACATCTGATAGCAGAAAAGCGTTTGGAAGGAGAAAGGTAACTGAGAAAGATTAATACGCGTGCAATGACCTCTCACAATCACGCAGAGCCCTATTAGTATTCGAGCTGCAACGGTACAAAGGGCTCTCTTAATAGCGCATGCAACCTTTTGTTGAAGTTATGAAAGTAGGCTACAGTGATAGATTGGTAAACAGTCTGCCCTAACCCAATCAGGCCAAATTGGCATGGCGGGAGTTCGCGTCGCTATGGCTTTGACGCACGCGTGTGGCATGCGTACTTGCTTCCTCTTCAATCTTGTCGCTCTCTTCCACAGTGCGCATATGCAGCGCAAAGTAATGCTTTACGCGGATGCAAATTTAGCAAACAGTTCGGCCTAATTACGATTGGAGGAGATTTTACCTACAGCGACAAGAACAAGGTCTTGTTTGTATGATCAGTTTGGTCACTTGCTCGTGCACCCCGAAATCTTCCAGCATTCGCTGCGACTATCGTACCTCTTTCCACCATTTCGTTTTTTCGACACTTGCCTTGCGTTCGCGTCTTTGACAAGATTGAGTGTTGTGCTCGCACTCGAAATTTTCGACCGAAATTAGCGTCACAACGTTGATCACGCTCTATGGAAAATTTGGTCACAGGTCAGTTATCGAGGCTAAGAATTTAAGCGTCAACGTTTTTAAATAAGTGACAGGGATAAGGGCAGAACAATCTTGAATAAATCACAAGAATGGGGTTAAACACGAAAACTCACATGCAGGTTATTGCATGGTTGAGCTATATCTTATCACAAGATTGCCTTTGCATTTTTGTAGTGTTAAGGCTTCCAAGCATATCGATTGGTATGGCGCAGTGGCTGTGCTCTACCAACGCGATCATCACGTAAAAAATTCGACATCCGTGGGCGCGCAAGTTTTGCGGAGAAATTACGAAGCTTTTGCTGAGTTCGCCCTAAGTTCGTAATTTGCAGTGAGTGTCGTGAGCTTAGCTCGTTCATGTTGTGACGTTCTGTGGTGGATTACCAACGCCCTAGTGGGTTGTTTGCTTGCAGTATGTAAATGCAGTTTTAAGTGTGCGTTCGCCACGTGGTTAATTCTACAACATCGCACTTTTTGCGCGTCTGTCGAAATGCTAACAATTTCATTAGCTTCAATGTCCGACAACACATAATAAAAAGACATGAATAAGAAATGCAATAAATGCACTAACCGTTTCTTCAGCGATTGAGAGCATCAAAAACCTAGTTAAGGTTTGGAATCCGTGATTAGCATTTTCTTTAAGAAAGACTTTCATTAATGTACAATTTGTATTTCATCTTGTATGCAGAAATGGAAGAATGTTTACTATGAGCAAATAGTTGCCAGTGAAATTTGGTGTAATTTGGGGAAAGCGAATTTTGTGACAGTAGTAAAAACATAATCTCAGGCAATGTTTCTCACAGTGAGGTGCCCATAGATAAAGAGGCTTTCTTGAAACATATTTCCAGTGCCATTGCACACTTAGCGCTATTTGTGAAAAATGGAAGCTTGACTTAAAGATCAAAGTTCTTCCTTACAAATGTATCGTAGATTAGGACTAGTCGTTGTAAAGATACCCATTGGTGTTTTGCACTGTCCCGTAAGATTACTGATGAGATGGCGAAATAATGAAATTATTTGTTGCATTTCTACATTAAGCATCTCCTTGTATACAGAGTGTCCCAAAAAGA